TCTGTCTGTCTGTCTGTCTGTCTGTCTGTCTGTCTGTCTGTCTGTCTCTCTATCTGTCTGTCTGCCTGTCTATCTATCTACCTGTCTGCCTGTCTATCTATCTATCTACCTGTCTGTCTATCTATCTATCTACCTGTCTGTCTATCTATCTACCTGTCTGTCTGTCTGTCTATCTATCTACCTGTCTGTCTATCTATCTATCTGTCTGTCTGTCTGTCTGTCTATCTATCTATCTATCTATCTATCTATCTATCTGTCTGTCTGTCTGTCTGTCTGTCTGTCTATCTACCTTTCTGTCTGTCTGTCTATCTATCTACCTCTCTGTCTGTATCTATCTATCTATCTATCTATCTATCTATCTATCTATCTATCTATCTATCTATCTACCTGTCTGTCTGTCTGTCTGTCTATCTATCTATGTACCTGTTTGTCTGTCTGTCTGTCTGTCTATCTATCTACCTGTCTGTCTGTCTGTCTATCTGTCTGTCTGTCTGTCTGTCTGTCTATCTATCTACCTACCTGTCTGTCTGTCTGTCTATCTATCTATATTTATTTGATCAAAAATACAGAAAAAAACAGTAATCTTGCAAAATATAAAATAATGGTTTCTATTTTAATATCCTTTAAAATATAATTTATTTCTGTGATGCAAAGCTGAATTTCCATCAGCCATTACTCCAGAATAAAGTGTCACATGATCCTTCAGAATTATTATTAGAATTATCAATGTTGGCAACAGTTGTGCTGCCAAATATTTTTTTTTGGAAACTGCAATATTTTTATCAGGATTCTTTGATGAATAAAAAGCAGTTGTGAATAAAGTACCTGAAAGCCATACTCAAGTAAAATACAGATATCGTACGAGAAAATAGAAGTTGAAGTCACCGTTTAGAATATAACTTGAGTAAAAGTCTTAAAGTGTGATATTTATTGTACTTAAGTATGAACAGTATTTTTAAAATCTTAAACGTACTTAAGTATTGAAAGTAAAAGTACAAGTACATGCAAAATGGAAAAGAAGCAATTTAACCACCCGTAACTCCCGAACCCCGGGGGCTGTCGACGCGGGGGGTGGTCTCATTCGAAAGCGGGCCTCTAGACGTACACTCGTGTTCAAGAGGGTTCCTCGAGCTGAAGGGATCCCCCGAATTTGGTGCGGATTCGCCGTGCCTGTCACGAATTCAGTCCATGGACTTCTGTTTATTCACCACCAGAGGTCACCCTTTCCATTTCATTGACTCTCGCACTACACAAACTGTTGCATAGCACCCCGGACTACATTTCCCATCATTCTTTGCACAATTTGCACACTGCCCTGATTGCACTCATTGCACACAGCTGTTTCTAATTACCTCATTCACTATATAACACCCACTCTAACCACATTTCTCTGCTGAGTATTGTTTAGCCTGTACCCCTTTCCGAGTCTCCGTGGTTTCCTTGTCTTGCCTTGCCTGTTTTTGCGGTTTTTGATCTTTGCCTGTTTTCTTGGATTTCCGCACTACACAAACTGTTGCATAGCACCCCGGACTACATTTCCCATCATTCTTTGCACAATTTGCACACTGCCCTGATTGCACTCATTGCACACAGCTGTTTCTAATGACCTCATTCACTATATAACACCCACTCTAACCACATTTCTCTGCTGAGTATTGTTTAGCCTGTACCCCCTTTCCGAGTCTCTGTGTTTTCCTTGTTTTGCCTTGCCTGTTTCTGCGGTATCTGATCTTTGCCTGTTTTCCTGGATTTCTCCCTCTCGTCTTGCCCTTGTGATTCTGTCTGCTGATCGGTGACCTACGCTAGCCCTGGGACTATTCTTGTGTTTTGCCCGCCATATACCTGTTTGCCATTGTTCTGACCCTGCCTGTTTACCACGTCTCTGTCTTCTGCTTAAATAAAGCCTGCAGATGGATCCACACGTCTCACGTCTCGTCAGCCCCGTTACAGAGCCGTTACGGAGATATGGCCGTTCAAAGTTTCAATGGTTTTCCATAGACTTAAGCCCCGTTCACACCAAGAACGATAACTATAAAGATAACGATATTAGCGTCCACACCAGCGAATTATATCGTCTGTTTATTCTAAGTGCACGTGCATCTGTCGCTTTAAATACTCGAGGTCATTACAGCAGGATGGATTCTGATTGGCTGTCAGTGTTTTATCCTGTCTATCTGTTTCACTAGTTGAAAGTGATCACAACGATATCGTTCCTCTGTATCGTTATCGTTATAGTTATGGTGTGAACTATGCTCTTCTTTAATATTGAGAACGATTTTTAGAACTATATCTTTATCGTTATCTTTATAGTTATCGTGCTTGGTGTGAACGGGCCTTTAAGCTTCAAAAGCGTTTCATCCAGGTCGCCAGTAGCAAACAATGGACTAAGTACTGTAATTACAAACTAAGTAATTACACCATTGTAGCGTCTCGACCAATCTGACACACTAATTTTTATTTGATTTAACAAATCAATTATTCAATTTCAAGCATTTTATCTGAGTTATATTCTGTTAAAAAAAAATTCATATCGGCGGCATATTCGCAGATACCGATATATCGACAACAGGCTCATATCGGCCGATAATATCGGTCGGGCTCTACTACAAACATACACCTTTGTTTACTTCTGTGTGTTGCTCGGCAACCACTTTTTTACATTTAGTCATTTAGTATTGCAACCACAACTGATTCTGAGGAACTACATTGTTTGCTGGAAGAATACTGTTTTTATTAATATCATTACACTTTATTTTCTCTGTTTTATTCTGTGAAACCTTACTACGTATATGGAATTATACGGCTTCTTGGGGCCTGCCTGCCTGCCAACAATTATGCCAGAGCCAGAATTATTACATAGCGCTGTAATGGGAAATTATACAAAACTAGCAAACTATATTTAAAAGCAGGCATCTCTGGATATTCACTCGAGTAAATCAAGCACCATCTAAGAGAAACTTGTTGATAATGAGAAAGAATACATTTTTGCTTTGTTCCTAAATAAAAGTTTGTTCTATTTCATTCCCAAATGCATGATGGTGCGGTATGGTCCTGGGCCTCCCCAAAGTCCCCTTAATTTGAGGAAGAAAAACAAAATAGGAAGAGAAAAAATTAATATCAGGCTTGTAATCAGAAAGTTATGAAATCAGTACATGATCGGGACTCACTTGAGAAGTCCATGCCAATACAAAAGAGGCATGAAATCAGCTTTCATGTGGTACATGATCCTGCTCTCTTTGCTCTGGTCCACAGGGAAGGTCTCCAGCGGCTGCCCGTCATAATCAAATTCTGCCAAGATCACTGTGTTGTAGCTTGTAACCAGTGGGCAGGAGGTGTAGCCATCATACTGCAACATACACAAAACAATTACTATTTAATATTAGAGATTATTATTCAATGTGTAATATTTTGCTTATTTTGAAAGATGAAATTTTAAATATTTATTAGTATATATCTGTAATTTAATGAATGAATGAATGTATGTATTATTTACGTACATTTGAATGTACTTGCTACTTTTTTGTGTAGTTATATAAAGAAAACAGCTATTTTGGAACAGCATGCCACCATGTTACTTGCACTATTTCTGTAATAGGCATGCATAATGTGCATACTTTTAATATGTTCAGTATGTGTAGGACAACCACATGACCCACAGTACCAAATATGCCAAAACTGTTCAGTATACAACACGCTGAGTACCCTGTGTGGAAAACTATCCCACAATGCACTGGACTTAATTTTCCCTTTACAGTGTGAGAAATGAACCAGAATGTCAGCCAAATTTGTTTTTGCAGTCTCTATCTTGACTAATTATTAAAATATCACTTATTCCAAAAAATATCACTGGCTTATTTCATTCCAAACACAGAAATTGTTTTGTTAGCACTACGCCCCCTGGTGGTGCACACTCAGGCAACACAGGAAATAAGGTTGGAGGAGCAAACAGTGGTAAACCACATTAATGTTTATCCTTAAACATACTTACTATCTTATCCGGTGTCTGTTTCTTCAGAATTCTGCTGACAGTTCGGTCAAGTAC